ATTAATGAAATGATAAACAACGTAGTAAACGTTAGCAAATTAAAAGCATTTGTTTAGAAACAAACTGAAAAAAATACCAGAACAACGTAATATATACATTAAGACTGAAAAGTTTTCGGAAATTCTCATTTAAAATTCGCGCGCTGTATATTTTTCGATATTTTAAGTTTATGTAGTTTGGCAGCACTGTCCTTAATTACTATGCCAAAAATGAGCTCGATCTGTCAGACAGTTCGTTTACGGCAGCTGTTGAAACCAGTTCACCTCAGTAGTGCGTTGCGAAATGTCTTCGACGGTCGTACGACCGTCCTGGAAGGCTTTGTACCACTCATAAACTTGAGTTTTCGATAAAACTGATTCCCCATAAGCCTTTTGTAGCATTCGCAACGATTCTGCACACGAAATTTCGTTCGAAACACAAAATTTGATGCAAACTCTTTGTTCAATATTTTTTTCCATTGTTTTTTTCGCAACGCCCTACTGAGGTGAACTGGTTTCAACAGCTGCCGTAAACGAACTGTCTGACAGATCGCGCTCATTTTTGGCATAGTAATTAAGGACAGTGCTGCCAAACTACATAAACTTAAAATATCGGAAAATATACAGCGCGCGAATTTTAAATGAGAATTTCCGAAAGCTTTTCGGTCACAATGTATATTGAAGCAAAATTGGACATAAATTCTGTTGTGATGAATAGAGTATATTTGATTGACAAAATTTTCGTTTAATAATTTTCATTAAATTTTAATACTCATTTCTAAGTTTGTTAAATTTCTCGTGCTAACAGCTTTATGATCATACATTAGTTTTGGAAGTGCTATAATTAAAAAATTATATGCCCGAATTTTCTATGTAGTGCTCAGGGAAATGGTAGTATATTATATAAACAAAAAAGATAATGATAAAATAACTATATTTTCGTAGAAAGTAATTTTATAACTATTGGCGTTCCTAGAAAAATTAAGTGGTGTTCCTCTAATTGTTTACTTAATACAAAATTTATACCAATCGAACGCAAACACAAAGCAAATATAATTAAGTTAAAAAAAAATTATAATGGCATAAATTATAATCAGCCGCTGCGATCGAATACTTAATAAGTTTTTGATTGATTAAATTTGTGTATCGATAACAATTAATACAATACCTTATATTGAAATTAATTGATAAAGGTTGCCTTTTAATAGTATTATACCGCTCTGGTATGTTGCCAAGACCAAAAATCAATAAATAATCTCTTATTTTATTATTAAATCTTTTAACACAAACTGAAATGTAAAATAAATTTAACTTTTTCAAGAACAAAATAATTATGTTAATGAGAAAATAGGAAACTTTAAATTTTACAATTTAAAAATTAGTTTCTTGTATATAATTAATAAAATAAGAGAATGTGTAATATATGAAATATATAAGCTTATATAATTATATATAAATAATTATGCTAATTATGTTATCGTCATTAATTTATAAGCTAAGTTGATGTAATGAGTATTTGAAACAAGCACTTCATATAAATTCTTTATCGACATTAGGCAGATTACTTTTACAGAAAATTTATCTCCAAGTACTATAAACTTTTTTCAATGAATATTTCTGTAATATTTATCTAAGCTTTTTGTTTTTTTAATATCTTAACATATCATATTTCACTTAAAAAATTAATATATTGACTATACAACCAAAAAAAAAAGGTTTAATCTCATATTAATCTAAGTGATTTAAAATCTTTAAGTGTCTTTTTTTGAAAAGACAATGAAATCCAATAGAAATGAATATTAAAAATTATTAAATAATATACAAGGTATACAAAAGTTATGTTTAAAATACAAGTTTGTTAATTTATTAGAGACATAAGTTTGATTCTTATGTGAGTTCTTTTTAACGTGAAGACATATAAAAGCCACTGTATTACACAAAAATGTGAACAATTTGACAATATCATTTATTGAAAATATCATCTATGCTTTGAAAATAGATGAAAATATCATCTATATTATATATATGTTATGTAACCTTCTTTATTAAAATCTCTTCTTTCGCACTTAAAATTATCAACTAATTTAAATACTGCATATAAATATTCATTAATTAATTAAATAAGAGAATTTTTAATTTAAGCACTTATATTTACGCCACTTTCTTATTATCTATTAATTATACAATATATTACCTTGAGATGCATTTGGGTGAAACGTTTATGACATTAAATTCATTATATTGTAAAAGAATCCAATGTATTCGTTTTTAACCTCTAATGAAAATAAAAAGCTCTATTTTCATAATCAATTTTTCATTGAATCCAACTCTCTTTCTTTCGAATATACTTTTAAGATTCGTGAACGAGTAGGAGAAGCAAAATATAAATAATTGAAAATTATTTATCTAATCTTAATACATCTTATTATCTTTTTCTTATTCTGCCTGTATGTTGGCGTGTTAACGACAGATGAAAATGCAAAGCCCTAATTCTTTTCATATATTATATTAAACTAACCCATGTTACTTTCGATAGGTATACAAATCTATTTATATATAAATTTTACTTTACTTTAATAAAGTGCTGTTAAAAAGCATTAAATTGTGATATAAATAATTCGAACCTAAGGCTTCGTTATCTTTTTTCCTTGATTTCGTAAAAATGAAATTAAGTTAATTTCGAAAGTGTTTATACTGCCATAAATTAAAGAAATCATATGTTATTTGTTTACAAATCGAATGTTAAAAATTACATGCTCCAAACACCATTTGTATCTGGGAAATTTTAAAAGTATATTATTATAACATTCAATAGTTTTATTAGCTTTAGTGAATATCAGGTATGTGAATTATTATTTTTCACTCTATTTTAAATTAATAATATTTACAGTTTTTTCTCTATATTCAAATTTAAAAATTTGCACTACTTTCTAAACATTTTCCCGGTTTTATTAAATTTAACTGTCACTGACATTTATCTAAAAAAAATGTCTTCTTTTCGTTATCTCAATTTTATCTTTTGCTTACAATTTATCTTACGCATAGATGCATTTGAAATGTTCCTTAATTTCAGCCTTCGTTTCAACGTAATTGAGGCCATTTTCTTAATTTCGTTCTAACCTCAAAACTGAATAACCATATATGTTGGCGTATTAACGACAGATGAAAATGCAAAGCATTAATTCATTTCATAGATTTTATTAAAACAATTCAAATCACTTTTGATACATTTAGAAACCTATTTATATATAAATTTTACTTTACTTTAATAAAGTGCTGTTAAAAAGCATATATGTTATATATAATAAATAGTTCGAACCTAAGGCTTTGTGGTCTCATTTATTGCTGTACCAATCTCCTGAAAACTGTAGGACACTAATAGATAAAAAAACATTCGCTACATTATCTTTACTTCTTTTTACAGAATATCTTAGTCTTAGGATTAATTAAGTTAATCCTAATAACTTAATTAATTAATAATGTCTTTAAAAATAAAAAAAAATCTGTGTTTAATATTAATAAATGATTTAAATTTATAATTATTATTTACTTATGTCACTTAAGTAGATATTATAAGATATAGAAAAGATCGGGTTCTAGAGGGAACTTAACATTCTCTCCTATGCGAAATTATTAGCTGTATCATTGTGCATAGTTTTCTTTGTGCATATAAGCTAAAATATAAAATTTTTGGAAAGCCGGACCAAATTGAACAGGTTTTATAGGTGCTTGATTATCCGAATATCATTTAATCCATGTTAGTATTCTATAGCACAGAATTCAAAGGAATGCACTTCTGCTTGAACAACTATAGAAAGTTTTCTATTTGAACGGCTAGATTGAATCTAAACGTCTGTACTAGAATTTAAATTTTAGTGAAAATAAAAAACTATTTGAAAGCGGGTGAATTAGAATTGTGCCAACTTTTAGCTTTAATGATCTATAAAATATTTCAAAGTATTTTTATTTGAATTTGCATTAATATTGTACTGTCAAAGGCAATGTTCGATCTTATCCCAGACTTAAACCCAGACTAGTTTTATTAGACTACTTTGGCCTTATTATTATTTTTAAGTCTTGTTTGCCGGTAAGAGAAAGGTTTTTGTGTTATGCTTTTGTTACCTATGATTTTTACCTATTAGTGACTTGATTCTGCTATATCACACTTTAGCAGTATTGGAATATTTTCTCAGTTGTGCGAACTGTACGTAGATTTCAGTTTCAGGTTAACATAGGTTGCCTCTTTTTTCTGCTACCTAGAAAGTTATACGTAATAACTTGGACACAAACTTTATTATATGGTTCGCAGCAATATTTTTTACGGGTCTTTCCATGTAATACATATTAGTGGTATATATTTGATGCCAAATATACTATAATGTTTTTGACAATATTCTTAAATTGTTGAACTTGTTTTTTAAGAAGAAACTGGAAACTAGGGATTTTTATTTTAATTTAAAAAAAATATTGTAGCTTATTAATGATCGGAATTTATAACAAAATAATATCTTATTAACCAATAATTTAATTATGTTTTCCCTTTCGAACATAATTTCTGCAATATGTTTATTTGTTTAAACCGCGTTATAAAAAACTATCTTAACTATTTATTTTCCACTAATAATTAATTTTTGTATTTGTGCACTATTAAATAAAAAAATTATTTTAGTAACAATTCCATACCACGTATAAACGTATTATGGTTAAGTCCGATGTTTGCAATAGCAGACAACCTATACTGACTCCAAAAAATTTGGGAGAGCACATAAAGTTAATATATATTGCATTTATTAGTTAATTTATAATTTAAAAATTTTTAGTTTTTAGATTAAAAATTGTATTGCTTTTATATTTAAATTGCGTTGATTTGCATTTGAACCTATGAACTAATTGTAATTACGAATTTAGACGCATCATAATAGTGATAAGAATATATTTGTTGTATTAGTCCATAGACTTAAGCTCATTATTCTGATTATACAATAATTGTACTGATCTTTAATAATAAATAATTTTCCCAGGCGCCAAGTCAAGAGGAGATGCAAATGGCAATATTTGAATAGGTATGGTTGTAGTTGCATATTGATGCACATCAACTGAAACCAATAGCACAATTCCTTTCGAACACCCGTGATACTAATTTTTTTTTGATTTTCATCTGCACTATACTTTGAACCTAATCTTTAAAAAAACAAAGAAAGGAAGAAGTATTCTATTTAAATTATTTAATTTTATAATTATCATTCATTTATTTTTTACAGATGTAATGTGTTAATAGTTGGAGGCGGTGCCGGCGGTTGTGCACTTGCCGCAAAGCTGTCCTCCAAACTAGGAAAAGACAATGTTATCGTTATTGAACCTTCAGATGTAATATTTATTTAGTTATTCTTTTATATAAAATATATTCTTATAACTTCTTTTATATATGTTACGCTTTAAAGAAACATTACTATCAGCCTATGTTTACACTAATTGGAGGCGGAATGAAACGTTTGGACCATTCGTATAAGCTGATGGCTAATGTTTTACCCAAAAAAGTGAGATGGGTAAAAGATAGGGCTGTAAATTTCGATCCAAAAAATAACACCGTTTCGACAGCCAATGGTACCAGCATAAGATATGATATGCTCCTTATTGCCACAGGATTACAACTAAATTACGACAAAGTAAATTTACAAATGCATTATTTTATTAAAATTGTTTTAAAATTGTAATATGATATTAAATTTAATTATTTACTATCAGATTCCGGGGTTAGTTGAAGCGCTCTCAATTCCTAATGGCAAAGTTTGCTCGATTTATTCTCCAAAATATGTTGACCGCACGTATCAATGCCTACGAAATATTGAAGATGGTAATGCTATCTTTACGTATCCAAGTTCACCAGTCAAGTGTCCGGGAGCACCGCAAAAGATTTTATATATAGCGGAACATTATTTCCGAAAGGTGAGTTTTAAGTGTAATAAAAAAGACCTTAAATATACATATGGCATTGAGATGTTCATTCTGAATGTTCTGGATTTGTTGTATATCACACTCTATAACTAAGTTTATGATAGTATACAGCTTAGTACCCAACTTCCTGTCCACAGTAGGTCTCTTAATTTATAAGGTCAAGTGTAAAGCAAACAATTAATTTACAATTTTTTGTATTGAAAAGAGGATTGTTGACTAATGAATTGTCAACTTATGGATTCCTTTACATTTGGACGAATACAAGTGACGGTACAAAAGTAAGAATTGGATAAAGAACTTATAGTAACTTTTGTTATAAATTGTGTGAAACTTTATCCAAAATGTTTAATTTGTTGAGCGTTCAAAATTTTTTAAACCATTTTACGCTAAATATAATAAATTATTTTGAATGTTTTCATATAGGTAATCTTTAAATTAGTTTTCAAATATGCCTTCGCTTTAAAATGAATCTCTGTATACTCCACTGCATGGTTGAGTTCATGTGTGGTATATATCATAAGGTGATAAGCAACATATTGATAAATCGACATTCATCATCCGTGATAATAGCATATTCCATCACAACTATTCATGAATTAATCAAGATTCAGCAAAAAACTTAATCGAAAATAAATAATATTGGAATTGAGCTTCAATTTATCACAATTTGACCGAATATTTGAGTTATCCAAAAAGTATGTACCTAATTTACTAATCTCATTGATCGACATTTGAAACAGATTTAATGATTAAAAATCGTATTTTAAATGTAAACTACTCTCCTTGTTAATATGATTTAAAGAAAACTTCCAAAAGTATTTTAATGGAAACATATCCTTAGTGATTCTGATAGACTATTCGTTCCAGCCATATTATTCAACTTTTATTGCGCAAATGTTAAAATTTTGACAATAGTTGTTTTAGAGCATCGACGTATATAATCGCAAAATAACGATTTGTTGAATTCAGATTGATGCTTCTCACAACTGTGCAATATCTTTTTTTTTTCTTAACTTTATAAATTGAAAACCCTAACTTTTTAGGTTATCGTAATTATTCTATTCTATACAATATTTTAGGTAATCGTCAGTCAAAGGCAGTGATAATTCCATTATCCTGCAGATAAGCACCTTTCCTTAGCAGAATAGAAACAAAGATTGCTCAAGAGTTATAGTACTTAATATACCACCTAAACATGTGATCTTATCTTAAACTAGTTTCAAATATACTAGTTTAACATATCATATGGAACTTTTTGTAACATTCTTACATATATTCTTACATATATCTGCTTTTCTGCGTACACGAACGTCACTATCGTAAGATCTTTTGATCCGTAGCAAATCAAAAAATCTTGTACAAAGTATATGCTGATCTTCATTAAGTAAATAACCTAACTACAATTTGCTTTTAGATTAGTTTTTTGTCACAAAGGTCTATTATAGTGGGAATGTTTCTAGTCCCTGAGAAGCACTTATCGTTTAATTTTTTGATTTTTGAATTCATTTAATTTCTTTAATTAAGTCTTAATTCCTAACCCTCTAATAGCTCAACAAACGAAAAAATATAAATGTCATATATAACACATCTCTACCAGTTATCTTTGGTGTGAAGCATTACGCGGATGCACTATGGAAAATTATTGAGAAACGGGACATTAAAGTTAATTTGCGACGAAATTTAATCGAAATAAAACCGGAGTCAGACACTGCAATATTCCAAAATCTTGACAACCCCAGTGAAACGTTTGTGGAAAAAGTAAATACAAATGTTAATACAAAACTGTACTCGTATAGTAAATTAATCCTTTTTACAGTACAATATGTTACATGTAGTCCCTCCAATGAGCTCACTAGATGAACTTGCAAAATGCAAGGAACTAGTAAATGAAGCTGGATTTGTAGATGTTGATAAAGACACAATGCAACATGTTACATATAAAAATGTGTTTGCAATAGGAGACTGTGCCTCATCTCCAAATTCAAAAACAGCCGCCGCAGCTGGTAAGTATATATTATTTACATTATTTTACTGTTTTATTTATTTTAAATATTTTTTTTTAATTTAATTTTAGCTGCACAATCTCCTGTCGTATACCACAATATGATTGCCGCTCTAAATGGCAAACCTCTGAAAGGAATATACGACGGTTATGCATCATGTCCATTAGTTACCGGTTATAATAAATGTATATTAGCAGAGTTTGACTATAATCTGACACCACTAGAAACGTTCCCATTCCCACAAAATAAAGAACGGTACACAATGTTCATTATGAAGAAAGACTTCATGCCTACACTCTATTGGCAAATGATGTTAAAAGGCTACTGGAACGGTCCAGCTCTAATGCGTAACATGATGTCAGTATTTAAATTCGGCAAATAGTGATTGTATTCAGAAGTATGTCTGTTGTAAAATCTTCTTTCAATAATGTCAAACTTTTGAAATTATTTCGACTTAATGGTATTTTTAAATTATAGTATAAAATTCTCACGTTGAATGTAATGTATTTTTATGAAGTTTTTTAAAATTTGTAGAATTTTTTATTAAATAATTCTTAATGCAAAAGATAAAAAAAATTTAAATTATTTATTTCAAAGGTTTAAATAAAAAAAAATATTGCTGCAAAATATGTATTACTCTTACATATTTATTATTTAACCTACATTTTGTAACTAATTGATATGAAATTATTCTCCTTACTTCTATTTAGCCGTAAAGATGTGCAAATAATATAAGTCTGAAAGATACGGGGGCTGCCTTTTAAGTCTGGTCTATCAAACCTGTCAATGAAAGCATAGTGCTTAGTAAATAAAAATGGTTTGATTGTTTTTCAATGTATTCTCCATAATGATCAATATATTTTTCCATTCGATTGAACCATTTTGCGAAACAATTTTACCACTTTGAATATGGTATCTCCAAAACCTGGGTTTTGAATGTCTCAACGGCATGTTCGGATGTAGAAAAATGCTCAACACGCCTTTTTTTCATAATGTATGAGAACAAGAAGAATTCGGATGATTCGTCAATTCGACGTTTTGGGTGCTCAAAAACTCTTGATGTGTGGGAGCCCGCATTGTCGTAATGGGGGATGATCTTCTTTTGACGGTTGATTCTACTCTCAAGTTTATCTGAAAAAACATGCTACCATTTGCGTGGATTTGCTCCTTCTGCACACAACTTTTATTGAATTCTGCTTACTGTGGTAAACCCAAACGCGGGATTGCGTTTTTTTTCGGGCTCATAAGCGTATAATATGGTTTATTGCCTGTCACAATATCATATACGTGTTTTGAGCTACCTAGGCCGTATTTTATCAGCATTTCGTTGCACCAATCAAAACGTGCCTTCTCTTAAACGATTCTCAATTTATGGGGATTCTAACGGAAACAAACAGCTAAATGTTTATTTAATATTGAATGTATATTGGTCCCACTAATGCTCAAGGATGCCTTTATCTTCCGGTATGTAATCACTTCTCGCACTGCATTGTTTTGTGGCGAAAACGACAACCACGCTATTTAACTCGAGCCAACGTTTTTTAACCACTGGAAGTGGTGTTTTATCACCAAATGTCCAACTCAGTTGATCAATATATTCTTTTCTAGTTAAACCCCATCGAAAATTGTAAAAAATCATTGCACGAAATGTCAAACTTTCGAAAAAAAATGTCAAAATTCATCTAGCAATACATAGTGTTGTCTAGGCGCAAGACTTTAAAGACAGCCTACGTACTGCAATTAATTCCAAGGACTGACTTTAACAATGCATAAAACGTTTTATTTGAAATTCAATTCAAAACTGTAATTGAATATTTCAGAGCAATGATACTTGAATTAGTTGAATTCTAGAATTCTAACAGAACGCTTTCCGTTGAAAACTTCAAACAAGTGCTTAAAATGTTTTTTCTCCATACAGCAGACATTTTTATAAAGTATACAATTTGCAATTTAAATGTAATTTTTAACGGAACTATACATTTGATTGTGAAAGTATCAAAAGCCATATGATATATCAAAACAAACGTATCTAAGCTGATAGGAAGTAGCTTTCAAATAAAAATGCTTGCGATTGCACAACTCCTTTTGAAGAATAAAACTCTGCTTTCTATTATATAGGGTGTTTGTTGAAGAGGGTTAAGATTTGAAATTGTAAGAAAAAAATAAACAAAAGTCAAATATGTTTTTCAATAGATAATTACATAACATTAATCACTAAAAAGTATTAGTCAGTGCATTTCATGGAAGTAACTTCTAAATCACATTCTTGAACTCCCAATCTTTTACAAATTTTTTTCAAAATTTAAAACTGTTCACGAAGACTGGTGCACACAGTGTTTCCAAAGCTAAAATTGTTTACCTGTCCACATACACCAATGCTGCCAACAAAGGAGACCATGCACCAATTCTAAAAACAATATAATCATCAAATACTTGCTTTAATAACTCTATGATCTCTAAAGAGCCCTAAAGAGTGAATTTCTTTCGACAATGCACTCACATTTTAAATAATATATCGTTAATGCTGACCCTGTTTCCGTGGCCATTGACAGTGATATTCCACACTTTTTCATTTTTGAACAAGAACGGCTCTATATTCTTGCAAGTCCATTAAAACAACTAAAATGAAGAGCATCGGTAGCAGATAAATTACTCTTAGCTCTTCTTTACTTCAAATGTGATCATTTTTTTAACAATACTTCTGAAATTAAAGGGAAACTTATTGACTAAGTGTCTATATTTAGAAGTAACTTACAATATGCACGATATAATACAGATGTGGCTCGAATATTGTCTATTAAGAACCATGATTGGTTTATGTGGTTTCCTTCTTTTTAAGGTACTCATACAGAAAAGAGTCTGTATTCGTGAATTAAATTTTAAAAGTTGCTAAAGCTATAAGTTGCCATTCTCTGATTGCACCAGTTGAAAGAAAACATCCTTAACTATTATTCTATTCCGATTTTCACATCAACAGCATTTTCTCAAGACATTTGGTCTATAAATATTCCATGTAATTATGTCAAAATTCATACAACAGAATTTAATTTAATAATAATAATTTAAAGATAGAGACTCAGAATTTGTAAAACAAAACAATTTGACTTATTAAGATACTATCGAAACGTTTTTGATGTTTTATAATATATGGTAAATTCAAAGAAATAGTTTTATCGTTAATAACTTCGTTGCGTTAATATTTCAAGATTATCTGCTACACCTTGCCAACGGAGCTTAATGTTTTTGACCGTTCGCTTAGAACTACTTCTGCCCGTATATCTGTAGGAACTATAGGAACTTTATTAAATTTCCGATATAGACAATGAGTGACAATTGCATACGATCCAAAAAATTATGTATTTGCAGAGCAATTCTGGCAAAGATCGTTAAAAGTCTTAAGATCAACCGTAAGACCCTAACGGGGGATTTGTGCTATTTTGGCACAAAATTCTTCCAAAAAAGTTTTATTCTTTGTAATTCGTGATAGAAAGCTGATTTGTTCTATTTCTTTCGTGGTGAAATCAAAACCAGCTGCTAATTGCTACGCTAATCGTGCTAATCGCACGCAAGTAAACAATTAAATTTTTATACAAAAGTGATGCAAAACCGCAATATGTGTATACAGCCATAGTCAAAAGTATTTACACAACGAAAGTTTTTGTACATATTGCATAGAAACATGTTTTTATTGTTGTTGTTGGACGTCAGTTGCAAAAAATTTTTTTGTTTTCACTTAGATTTATTTATGCAGAACCAAATAAAAAAAGAATTAGAAAGATAACTGTTCATTTGACAAAAATATAAGCAACTGCGCTGATGCTTATTAGTAGTCAAAAGTATTTACACACATTTTTTTTGCGTCAAAAGTATTTACACAAAACGTTAATTTCATTTTCTTCTTCTTAATTGATGAATTTTTAAAAAAATTTTTTATTTTTATTTAATTAATATAATTAATATTTGGTTACACCACCTTTGGCATCAATAACGGCCCGTAATCTAGCTGGAATTGATCGAATCCAGCTGCGAATCAATTTGGACCGAATATTCGCTATTTTAATTATGCTATCACTACATTTTGGATTTTTATTAATAGTATTTTGCTGTTTTATAAAGTCTCAACCATATTCAATGACATTAAGACCAGAACTCTGTGCAGGCTATAAAAAAACAGTAGGATTTAACTCTTTTAAAATTGGATTAAGTCCACATCCTTGATAACATGGTGCATTGTCATGTTGTAGAACCCAGTTATTGATTGGAAAAGGTCTATTTTCTGACGTTAAGACATGGTTATTTAAAATACCAATATAACCGGACTGATTTAAGGTGCCATTTTTCGGTACCAAATCTCCAAATGCATTGTTTGATAGACATTCCAAAAACAAAACCGTGCCACCTTCAAATCTATTGAGTAGCTGCACTGCTTTATGCTTTTGGCGTTGTCGAAAATGCATGGAGTGGTTATCAAATGAACCCTAGAATTGAAATTCAGACTCATCTGTTCATAACATATTGTTTCGAAACTGTATAGGTTACTTAAAATACTTTAAAGCAAATGAGAGAATATTTAATAAGATCGTTAGAGTAATATTGACTATTTTGTGCACCACATAGGTATTGATATTAATATTTTTCCACCTGCGATGTAGTATAGCATCACTAATAATCTTGCCACTCAACTTTTCCGATGACATTGCTATTTTGACAGGACTTATTGTAGGATTTTCTACGACTACTCCTAATAATCTTCTGCATTCCCTTTGATTCATGGGAGGTTTCTGCCCAGTTCTCTTCAAATTTTTTAAATTTTCGCATGTGTACTTATTTTTAACTAGATTTTACACCGTTTTATATAAAATTTTGCATAACTTTACTAAGTTCGTCGCCGAAATCCCACTCTTATATTAAGTACCAACCTCAGATCGAATTTCAACTGATAATTCCTTGATTTTTATCATTTTCCTGAATAATTTCTAAAATTTTGAAATCTCTACACTTGTGTAGTTTGTGACAAAAGCTAACAACTGCACTTACTTAAACGAAATCCTAGAATAAATGCTAATTAATATTTTGTGTAAATACTTTTGACTACTAATAAGCATCAGCGCAGTTGCTTATATTTTTGTCAAATGAACAGTTATCTTTCTAATTCTTTTTTTATTTGGTTCTGCATAAATAAATCTAAGTGAAAACAAAAAAATTTTTGGCAACTGACGTCCAACAACAACAATAAAAACATGTTTCTATGCAATATGTACAAAAACTTTCGTTGTGTAAATACTTTTGACTATGGCTGTATATACATAAATAATTATTTACGGAATTTAACTCGTGTCATAAAAGTAGTGGCAAAAAAAATTAATTAGTTTTAAAATTATAACATATAATTAAATAAATAAGTATATGAATACATCAATGATAAATAAATAAATATCAATACTAAAATATTTGAATCTAAATATATAAAAAACTCCAGAAACATGTGCGAACAAAAAAAGTCAAGTACGGCTTTTGATCAGTTAGTTAAGAAGCGCTGACTCTGAGCTTCAAATTTGGCAGGG